GAATTGCCGGTTTTTTCACCTTTTCTCCCGGTTTTCGCTCCTTTTCGTCCAACTTTCGACTCCGGGGCTGGTTTCACTTGTTAAATCCCGAAACAAGCTAAAACACAAGAAACCTCACGTAAAACCACCCTTTTAGGAGCACAATTTCCACAAATGCCTAAGGAAAACAGGGGTAAAATATGTACAATTAGGCCCGAGTCACTCACCCACACTTAGAAGTTTGCTTGTCCCCAAACAAACCATTTCACACAAGGTAATATTTCAACCTACACAAATACTTTGGGGACAACTCAAAAGGCACAAAGTGGGAATTCTCAATGGCTATTGGCAATTAATACATGGACCATTGCAAGCAATACCGACATCCACCACAAATGACATTCGAGGCCACCAATAGTGGGCAAACGAAAAGTTCTCATCTTGTTCATGGATCAATGCAAGCCTCAGCAAGACCACTTATTAACCACAACTACCCATGCATAGAATTCAAGTCCGAGGAACAAATGGAAAGGCGACAAAGGTCCCCACCGGGGTATGATATGGCATGCAAAACAAGAATGAATCACTCACTCTCAAGACCAGAGGGGTTGGGACCTTTTTGGTGCAAAAGATGTGCACAATCATCAACACTCGACCCTATCTTCTCAATACCACGGTGATAACCTCTAAATGCTAGAGTTCACGGGATGGTTGTCACCACTAGCTTGTCTGGAGGTCTTAGACACAGGTTCAAATGACTAGTGGTTGTCTTGGACATGGGGAAAAGGCTTTTTGGGTGGTGGCAATCATGATGTGAGGTTCCACATCTTCAACCTAAACCCGAAGGTTCTAGGGTTCCGACTAAAACCCTTCTCTTCAACCAAAGGCCACTAGTATCGGCCAAAAACCTTATCTCTCCCTTCCAAACTATCACCCATCGTGAACTACATTTAAACGCTCTTCCTCTATCAACTCTTGATATCACATTATGGTTTGGTAGTGAATGAGTTCTAAAACATTGTGGGGGGTTTCAATGGCTTGAATGCCAAGACACCCCTCCTAGAGCATACACTTTGGTTTTCCGTGGAACTCTCTACTTTATTTACCCTGTTTTATTACCTCTTTTTCGTTTCTCTTTTCTTTTCTTTTTCTTTTCTTTTCTTTTTTTAGGGGGGGGGGGGTACTAGAGAGTACAACCTTGCCACCTATACATTTAACGACCAATGCTCTCTTTTCAAGAATTCACTCCAACACCACACTTCCTTTTCCATTCCTAACAAGAACCGCACACAAACCTCCTATGCAGAACCTCTATGGAAACTCAAAAGCGAGACCTCCGAGACACAAGGATGACTCATGTTTAGACGCGAAGAAAGGATTGGGGGTCGTTCTATTAACACCATTAAGCTCACAAGCACGAAGCTCCTACTTTAAGAATGACACTCGAAGTCACAAGGCTCAAAGGGGTTAACTAGCGGATAACACATTTCGGGACAATCAACATTTGGCCGTGGACTAATAATGTGCCTCCATCATACTCACTAGTGACAACTGTGATGTTACTCGCCATGGTAAGAGAGATCTAAGCACACAAGAAGAAAACGATCGGCTCAAAGCTCGCAAGGCTACCTAGTCACCCAACCATCTATTCCAATTCACAAAACACAATGCATGGCAAATTGTAGTCAACAAGTAATCGAGTCAAGACATCCATTCATTTATGCACATATGAGAACTAAACTTTGCACTATCCTAATGGACCTCTCAGTCATCATCATAGGATATACTCGATCACATGTAACAAATCAAGATCAATGCCAATAAACACGAGATTTTCCCACAAACCGGCCACTTTGATCATGCAAACGTTGCTTGGAGCCCTCAAAATTTTCAAATCTGGGCATACAACAAAGCTCTAAGCATGAATCAAACTCACACAAGCATAATAGTAAACTACCCCCCCTCCCACTTAAGCTCAACATTGCCCTCAATGGCGTAAGATAGGGGGTAGAATGATGTTACCGCTTGGGCTTGGTGAGTGAAAGTTGGAATCGATTCCGAGGTAGGATATCTGGAGCTTCAAGGAGAGACAAAATCACACACACAAACACAATACGACTCGCTCAAGGAGAGGTTATTACAAACACAATACGATGGTCACACACACATAAAAGAAAGAAAAATAACAAAAACAAGTTCAGAGTTACAAGAGGAGAAGTGGGGCGAAAGAAATCGGATCTACCACATGTCTCACTCGTTGGCTACCTCTCGCGGGTGGATGGACCCTCCCTCTCATCTGGAAGGAGGCCCTGGCGTCAAGCCATCAGCTCAAGGAGGTCGATCTGCCGGTCTAGGCGGGAAGTCACTCCCATGAAGCTCGTCTCTAGGCGATCCACCCTCTGGACGAGGGGATCACCTTCTGCTGCTGCTGGTGGTGGCTGGGCGCTGGAGTGCGGGATGCCGGCAGCGGCCGGGTGCTCGAGTAGGTGGCTGCTCTGCTGGTGGGCCCTTTGGATCAGGCTCCACTAGAGCCGAGTCGACTACTACTCTGATGAACCTGATGGTCGGAGTCTCTCGAGGTACTTCACTCCTCGCTCTCCCCAGGAGTACTAGCTTCTGGTTGTAAAGGGTCACCACTAGAAAGGGTTATGTCCTCTCGACGTTGGTGCACCGTGCCAGATCCACGTGGAACTGTCGGGCCATCCTCGTAATGAGGCCCCCCCATGTGCATGGTGTCCACTCTATTCTGCCCCAGACACCGGGCGAAAGAAGTGGCGATCAGAGATCTCAGATGGATCGCCTCCGCTGGACTCCTCATGGAGTAGAGGGCAATTAGCCCTCTGTTCGTCATCAGATGGCCTGACAGCAGGCTGGGGACAACCGAGCGGGTGACCAAAGTGCGGAGGATCCTCCAAGGGGTCCTCAGCTTCACCGCATTGGTGCGACTCCCCTCAAGCTCGTCTTGCTCGTGCTTAGGATGGCAGAGGGCTCGGAATGCTCCCTGATAGTTGAAGTCCACTATGTACTGTTGCTCCGTCATCGTCATGTGGGCGGTGTCGAGTCCCATGGCCTGAGCAAAGGCGTCGTAGGTCAGCACTCGTGGCTGAACTCTCAACATGAACTCCAAGTGCGATCGACTCTTCTTGCTGGCCGGGACGACGTGGGAGAAAGTGGAGTAGAAATCCACGTATATCTCATGGTAGATATGCTTGTCCACCGTCAAGAGCTGGTGCCACTGGGGGTGACAAAGCACCCCGTACATCACGTCTCGGCACCTGAACAAGTTGAACATGTACAGGTCCAACTGCCAATGAGGCCCAATCGGGCTGTCCCTCTGATAGGCGAACTTGTCGCCAAACTCCGGGTGATGCACCAGGTAGCTGATGTACTCGTGCTCCAAGTTAACTATCCTGCACAAATTTGCAAACATACACCATACGTGGAAACAATCATAAAATACTGCTCATTGTGAGGAAAAGAGATCCCCCACACTTATATTTCCACCATGGATATCAAACATTAAAGGTCAAGCACACCGTGGCATGGTTGTGGTTATTCACAGTTCTCTCACATAAAATCCGAACCACAATCCAAACCACAGTGGCTACCATCCACCAATCAAGGTTAAAGCCCCACATGCATTCACAAAATAGCACTTGGTGGGCAAATTCTAAAAATATAGACAATTCGGTTCAAACACGCCCACCAAGGCTCAACTAGGCTCAAGCATTGATATTCCACCATTCAACTGACCTAATTCACCTAATTCCTCGCCCTAATTATAGGTTCAACATTCAAAGCATGAAAATCATCCTCGCTTCACTGCCTAATCCGATTCTCCCAAAATTAACAAGGTGGAGCTGAAAAAACCAACTTGGAGACGCAAGTAGGACGTAGGAGGGAAGTGAGATGCGGACGAGGAAGGCGAAAAATGGCCGAAAAACAGGCCGGAGAGGGGTCGCTGGAGCTTCGTCAGAAGCTCGTCGAAGACCCGTCGCTGGCGACTTGACCAGAAAAACCTTTCCCAAAATCTTCCCAAAATCGCAGCACATGTCGGTTTTGACGAGTGGAGAATGCATATGAAGTTGGTTTTGAGTTTTGCTCACCGAAAATGGATAAAAAATGGATCAATCATGTAGTATTCCCTCCTTCGGCTAAGATTCAAGTCACTTTCATAAATTTTCTCTTATAATATATTTTTCCAAATTTTGTTTTTCCGAGTCCGAGCTGGGGTTAAGCTGCACGTGATCTGATTACCTCAACTTCGTTGTTGCTAGGGATGGCAATTTTGCCCATACCCATGGGTATTTTACTATCCAACCCAATTGGGTTGGGTATGGATTCCAAATAAATGGTAGATGGGTAGAGTTTGATGGGTTTGTACCCATACCCATTTACTTGGGTTGGGTTGGATTTTTAACACATGGATTTGGGTTTGTACCCATGCCCAAAGGCAAATTACAGTTTGGTACCTAAACTTAATAGATATGCAGATTTAGTACCTAAATTTAATTTTTTTTACATATAAGTCCTCAAAATATCGATGGAAAATTACGTTTTGGTACCTAAATTTTTTTGGTCTTACATTTTGGTACCTAAACTTTTCAAGTTTTACAAATAGGTCCAATTTTTGAGTGTGTAGTTAAAACACCCTCAAGTAAATGGATATCCATATCCAACCCATACCCATTTGAATTATGAAACCAATATCCATACCTAACCCAAACCCATCTACAAACCCCCAAACCCATATACACTTCATCCAAACCCTACCCATACTAAATGGATTTATTTGGATTTGGGTAAAATTACCCATGGGTGGGTAATTGCCATCCCTAGAACTTGTTGCTACTGTCCTCTTCCCCGAATTCCTTTCTTAAAAATTACGGAAATAACCAAACGGAAACCTTGAGAATTTCCCGATTCTGCCATTTCTGTAATTCAAAATCTTGGATCCCGGCGACAGGGGACCAAGTCCGAGCTCAATCGCTACACCAGAGGAGTCGAGCTTAACAAAAGAAATGGCGGCCTTCGTCAATCTGGATGATTCCCCCATGTTTCAGAAGGAGGTTAGTTACTGCTCCTTCAAACTTTCCGCATCAACAACTGAAATTTGCCTTCGCTTTCTGGACCAGCACATTACTCTTGGCCACTTTCTGATCCCATTTTAGTGCGACATCTACTCAGCTCGCCTGTTGCATGACTGAATCTCATTTTCGTTGGAACCGAATGCGATATAGATCCTCTCATTTTCTCCTCGCTGACCTTTTCTGTCGTTCTCGTACCGCTTTCAATTGCTCGAATTTCTGCTCCTGCTTTGTTCTTATTCAATCGTAGATGTGAATGTGATAGCAGGTTGTTCCGAGCACGGAACATGCCAGCCTAATGCTTCATTCGGAAGCAAGCCTTTCCCATTAGCATTAGGTGATATTTACGCATTAAAAAAAAAAAAAAAATTGTGGCAAGGGTCTCAACTCTCAAGCATGAATATTGGTTTTGGCAACAATTCTGGGTTTTCAATTTCATGATTTGCAGTCCCCAAAGTTTTGTCTAAGTTCAAAGAATTGTTTATTTCAAGTACTAGTTTCTTCAAAGTTCCTAGTGTTATTGAGAAGCGGATATGACCAACAACCAATGATTTACAGCTTATCATTGGCTGTTTGAAGCTGAACTATCAATAGCAGGAATTCTTGATTTCTCCATTTTGTTATTTTCCAAAATGGGTTCAATTGAATGGTTGTTTTGCTCTTTGATACACCTACTTAGTCTGTAAATTGGAACTATTGCTGAGTAAGTTTACTATCCTTTTACCTTCTGTTAGGATCTAGTTGTCCTTTTACCTTCACTGGAAACTTTACTGTCCTCTTTCTTTGACTTCAGCTCCCCCAATTGACTTGTACAACGTCTTCCTGACTGTTTCCATTTGCTCCCTTGTAGAAAATCATGTTATTATCAGTATGTTTCCAGTCCAAATAGCAAATTCTGGAATGGTTTTATTACAGCTATACATTGCTCGGTGTCCGATTACCGTGGCTCTCTAGAACACAATCTAACAGCGTTGCCAATACCCTTTTGAAATCTCAGACTGATTGTTATCCTGTTTTTTATATTCTTCCAAACTAATTTTATTCCAGATACAGTTCCTAATGAGTAAACTTCATTTCTCGACGCCTGCAGATATCATCTCTAGGGAATATGGCCGGCGAATTGAAAGATCGTTGCCAAAGACTTTATAAAGGTTCTGAGAGATTTATGTAAGTGGCTAGTGGTCTTAATCACCCAAGTGCTACCCTATCAAGATTAATTTTATCCTTTATGCTTTTTCATCATGATCTGTGCATGATAGATTGCTTTTCCTAATTACTGATATGATCTAGTGCCGGATGACTTTGATTAGTGCTCTGGTATTTCTTTCCTTCTCTTTTGCTAATTTATAAAAATGATTGTGCACAAGGTTTTCTCTCATGTAGTGTCTTAATTCTGAGCCAGCCTTGATCTCTTTGTCATCCATAACTAGCTGAGAGCGTTGTTTTTGGGTGGATTTCTTGTTTTGTTTTCAACAGGACAGCTCTTGGAGAAGCATGCAGTGCAGACACTGTGCTAGCTGATTCTTTAGAAGCATTTGGTGGAGGACAAGATGATCCAATCAGTGTATCCATTGGAGGTTGTTGAGAAGTATCCATCTGACTATTCAATGTGTTTATCTTTCAAGAACATCAATGTGTTTGTGAAATCACCTTATTTTCTTTCTCTTTTGGTTGATTTAAGGTTTACTCCTTTTCCCTCTATACTCGACTTCTTATTCGCTAATGTTGATGATGTAGGCCCTGTCATGTCCAAGTTTATCAATTCATTTCGTGAGCTAGCTTCCTATAAAGAGCTTCTTCGTTCCCAAGTAAGCCTTTAGATTTTCGCTAAAGGAGAAGATTGATCTAGTTTTAAATATTCACTGTGAGACAAACTTGGCATTTATCTCTCTGTTATTAGTTTTGTGAAGGCAAACTTGAATTGTTGAGAACAATCTATTCTATCCTGGGGCAACACTATAGGTTGTTCAACTACAAATGTTTTGCTTCTTGCAAATGATAGTGAACATGGACATAGCATGCTAGAAACCTTTTGTACATCGTGACCGAGGTCGTTTGATTAAGCATAAACTATCCACTGCGACTCACCCTGGACTTGCCATAATGCATATTTGAGTCCAAGTTTAGGAACCGAAGGGCTGTGCTCATGTCAAGACGATTAACTTTGTGATTATAAAATCATAGGAGTTTTAGGTGCGCAAGTACTTAAGGAAACTAACTAATAACAAAAAATTACCTTTCCAAAAGAAAGAAAAAATAGGGTTGCACTTAATTACTTTCATTGCACAAACAAGTGACTTGTAGACGCTGTCCTGAAAAAAGTTGTGAACTTGTGATGCTAGTTGAAGCAAGGAATATCTGTATTTCACTTATATGGTGCATGTTGGGAAGTGGCAACTAATTCCCATAGAGAGGAAACCTTTTCCTGCCACAACTTGATAACTACACTGATGACCTCCGAACATTTACAAGATAAATGATAGCTTACTTAGGTGCTAGGCAATGTCAAAACGCCTCGCCTAGGGGTTTCATGGCGGAAAATGACAATGGAGTAAGGCGACACCTAGCTGTTGCCTAGGCTTAATTAAGTCCTGTAAACTGCTATTTCATTCATAATTTAGTACAAATTGCTATTTTGTTTCCCGCACCTTATGCCTAGCGTTTTCTCGAACCTTTGCTTTTGGGAATGTTATTTTCTCATGTGAGGGGACTTTAGCCTTCCAATAATCTGCAGGGTCCACTTGTTCTAAAACTTGTTTCATTTCTTAAGAAATTGGTGCAATAAATTTGAACTTTGTTAAATTGATAAGTCTAGTATATAAAGTTTATTTTTGGTCGTACCAGTAAATGAATTCTTATTCTAAGCAACTGGTTTTTTAGCTGAAACACACCCCTAGAATAGATAGAAGAGATGAACATCTTAATTTCTTTCATTATCCTTCCATGTGATGGAGTGAAGTCTTGCAACTTGTTTGATACCATGAAGCAACGTTAAAGATTAATATGGGTAGAATTATGATTCAGCATGTGATATTTTATGTATTCACGAGCAGCCAATCTCATGAGATTCATGTCTGCATCACTTAAATCTGGCTTCACAGCAATCTGTTGATTTATTTTAATTGATCAGCTTATATTTTGTGTTCATGAAGTAACAGAGTATCCTATCCCCCCAACACCCCAAGAGAAACCTACCCTATCTTTTGACAGACCCAGGATGACCTTACGACAATTCCAATTCATTATACCTTTCTGGGCCCATGCTATACTGAAAAATGTGTTTTTGCAGGTAGAGCATGTCTTAGTAGATCGTTTGACACACTTTATGGATGTGGATCTGCAAGATGCTATGGTACTTCCCTGCAGAATAGTGTCAATATGATAATCTACATAGTATGAATCAAAATTCATGCTTCTTGGGACACCAATATAAACCAGGATGTGGTGGTTTATGATGATAAATTGTAGGTTAGACATGAAATCGTAGGCTAGAATTTTGATTGGATACTGAATTAAATTATAAAAATAATAGAATAACAAGAACCTTTGAGGAAAATTGAAAAACAAATGATACATTATTTTTTCCTGAGCATTTTGCATCAATATCATACTAGGACATTGTGAAGATAATGATCACATTTTCTTTGACCGCAGGAGTCTCGAAAGCGATTGGACAAAGCAGTTCATACTTATGATCAGGTATTGATGCTTCACAAATTGCCATTTGGGTGAAAGCATTTTGTTTGCAACAAGAGTCGAGGGAAAGAAAGAGGAGAAGTACTTAAGTTAGAATATGTTCATCCTTACATGTGTGCATGGTTGATATTAGATACCGACCAAATCTGTCCTCGTTTTGCTTTCCCAGGTTCCTTAGTTTAATATCATTCCTTATTGTATTAGATTTGTTCCTGTCCTAGTTTATTCTTCTACTTAAAAGGGGTGTGTATTGATTTCTTTCCTAGCTTTTCTGTACATGCTGTTTCTACATATATTTCTGGGAATTTTTACACGAGAGTGGTTAAGGTCACATGTATTTTATGCCTTCTCTGGCTTGATTCAATTAATCTGCTACTGTAGTTTTGGACCACAGCCACTGGAGTAACTACTTTAAAACACTATATTCCTTGGCATTACATGGAAAATGGGGGATAAGCACAGGTGTTTTGCTGTGCTTGCCTGTTAATCTTTTTCCTCCTTTCTTTTTTGATGGTATCTTCCTACTTGGGCCTTCAGGTGAGAAAGCTGAAAAAGAAACTCCCTGGCTGACAGTTGCGGAATACTTGAATGTTATGTGGATTCACTGCTGCATGATGTTTGATTTTGATTGTTTCCTTCGTGTCTTTACTTCACACTACTTAAGTGCCTATCATATTCAGAAGTATTAAATATCAGCAAGGAACTTAGTTTACATCACTCTATGGTGGTCCGGTCTTACACTTACATGATGCCAGCATTATCTGGATTGTATAAGCACCATGCACCATAAGAGAGAAAGAACCAGGATGTTGTGTTTGAATTGGGGTGAGGTGAGTGTGATGTTGTGGCACTGTTTAACTGTGTGTTTCGTATTGTGGTATGTTGGATGTCTTACTTTCCTTAGTATCAGGGAAGTTTTATGTCTCAACTGCTGAGAAATGGTATTATGGAGAGAAAGCAATTTAAATTTACAGCAAAAAAGGAAGTGGAAACAAAACTAGAGACTCAGAGCATAGATATAATGTATTGGAGCAGTTAGGCAAATGAATAAAGAGAAAGCAAAGCCTTTTCATCCATCTTGCGCATAGAATTAGATAGCTGTAGTTTGTGCTGGGTTGCTTAAGGCTTTATACGGTTCGCAGTAAAGATGTGGCTGGCACTCCCAACGGTTCCTGAATTAAAGTTGCTGCTCTTTCTTAGTGACTAATATTTTAACTTCACATTCTTGCCCTTAATGTCCATCAATCCCTTTCTTTGTTTCCCTTCCCTCTGAGTTCTGATTGTCTAATATCTTAGAGGTCTGACAAATTTTGTTATTTCATTGCCAGTCGCGAGATAAATATGTATCTTTGAAGAAAAATGCCCGTGGAGACATAGTTGAAGAACTGGAAGAGGTACCCTCCCCTCTGTTTTTCCCTTCTCCAACTACATCATTTTCTGATTCAGAGAGTCTGTGTTGTTGCGACCGGATTGATAGGTGCTATTTTTCGCCCCACTTATAATCGGGTTTGTGGCCGATAATGTTGGGGAACTGCATATACACACAGGGTTAACTTTTGGTGATATTTGCCAAAATCGAACCTGGCTGTGAGAACCTTCCAGAATAAATTCCCTTGAGAAGTCCCTTTGTGGACATCCGATAAAATTGGAACGATACAGAGAAGATAAGCATGGCCCCTGCCCAAGGATGACACGCATAAATCGAGAAATTCCCTCGAGAAAGTCTTCTGTTTCTCATATGTTTTTCTAAGTTGTGGAGCAATGCATCTTTTTCTGTTGGAGGCTTCCAGCTAAACATTTAAATTCAGTACTTGATGCTGATAGTAGTTTTTGTTGGTTCTTGTTGCTACAGAGTTTTCCTGAATGCTTAGCATGTAAATGCAAGATGGCAAACAGGGCCCGAAAACACTTGAACATTAAACAGTTCCAAATTTAGAGCATAAACTCTTATCAGAATGATGTTGTTGTTACTATTTTGTTTCCCCTGTTTTCTACCTTCTATAAAGTGATTGTCCGAACAATATCCTGATTCAGTTATACATTTTCTCAACAGAATCTGCAGAACTCGAAGTCAGTATATGACAGAAGCCGCTTTAATCTAGTGCGTCTGAATTTCTCTAGATGTTGGAGTTGAGTATCTGTTCTTACCTGATTCTAATGTTTTTTGCTTATGGAATTTAAGGAATTCAGGTTAGTTCCCTCATGAATATTGAAGCTAAGAAGAAGTTTGAATTCCTGGAATCAATGAGTGCAGTAATGGATGCTCATTTGAGATACTTTAAGCTGGTCTGTTTGGAGTTCTGCACAAATCTTGTAACTATATAATTATGCAATTGTGACTCTGCAAATTGTTTGATGGGATTTCTCTTTTCATGATTCAGGGGTATGAGTTGTTCCGGCAGATAGAGCCATTAATTCATCAGGTCATACTTCGTTTACTTTATGTTTCATTTGACATAATGGAGTTAATATCCTTCCTTTTGTAGTGAGATAGTCTCCTTTTTAATTGACTGGAATCAGTAAAAGGTTTTATATTTATAGTTATAATGATGCTAAATTACCTTCCGAATGGGGAACTCCATGGAACATCAACATAGGGGTCGTTTGGTTTTGGTGATTGTTTGGTTGGGATAGTTACAATGCATGTATTGTCTACAATGCATTGTGTTTTTGAATTTTCTGCACAAACAATACATGCATTGTTTGCTTGATGTGATGGAAACTATCACTCAAAATGAGTGATAGTACGATCTCTACTAAAACTTGAGTTTGTTGAGATAGTTTTGAGGAGATTGTTGGGTTCATTTTTTGTTCCAAGTATACCCCTAGTTATATATATATATATATATGTTCTCATAAAAGCAAGAGCAAAAGTGATCTTTTTCACAAAAAGTAATATAACATTTTGAATACTAAAAGAACTATCACCGTCAACATAATCTCTTATCCGGAGTTTTTCTTACGCACCTCTAGTAGACAAGAAAGTCTAGGACTGTGCATTAGGTTACTTTTGTTTTCATAAATGACATACGATAGTTATGTTCTTCAATTAAGCTAAATGGAAGTGAGGTATTTGAGTTTCTTATTGCCATTTCAAGTACTCATTTAATTGTGTACTGTGTACCATAATTGTCCAAGGATCAGTACCCTATGAAGCATACTTGTGATTGTGATAATGTGCTTCGAGTGGAAGATTTATTTAATGTCGACCATAATATGTGGGCTCATTTGTGAAGTTAGAGATTAGGTTGCACACAGAAAGTATGCTTTACTGTTAGAACTCATTTTTTATGCAGGTGCTAACATATGCTCAACAATCAAAAGAACATGCTCTTATTGAGCAAGATAAACTTGCCAAAAGGATTCAGGAATTTAGAACCCAATCTGAGTTGGACAGCATACAAGCTTCCAGTAGGTTAGAACCTTCAACAAGTGGTGACAGCTTTGCTGCTCTTGGTGTAAGCCCCTACAAAAATATAGAAGGAATCATTCAGTGTGGCTCAAATGGAGAGGTGATTTTTTGTTTATTTTTTTGACCTTGAGAACTTGCTTTTTAATAAGAGTTTTGAATAAAATGGATCGTTTTTTCTATTGGTAGTCTACTCTAATGTGGATCGGCCATGATTCTTTTTCCTGTTGTTTATAATTAATTTTTCAATTGTAGCAGTATCATTTTTTCTTCGGTACTTCGTAGGAGCTCTCTTATCTCTGTTAATGCAACCCTTTTCAGGTTCATATCCTCAAACAGGGATATCTACTGAAACATTCCTCTACTTCTAGGGGAGACTGGAAGAGACGGTTCTTTGTACTCGACAGTCAAGGCAGTTTGTATTACTACAGAAACAAGAGTATCAATGTATGTTATCCATTGCTAGTTGAAAATTGTTTTGTCATCTTCACATACTCATAGCTGCTCCTAGTTATACCTTCTTTTGCACACTACTTACAATCTTAAGCTCTCTGACCAAAAGGTGGGAAATGACTAAAGTTGGGTTAAACTAATCGACCGCAGCAGCAGTTCAGTCCAACAACAGAGTAACCTAAAGAAGCCTGTTGATCGTTTCTTTTCTCTTTTATCTCCATTGTGTATTAAGTAACATTCCTTCCCCATAAAATAATTTTTTTTATTGGTTTGCCTCAACTTTCTGTAAAATACATGTGCGGATCTTCCTTCTTTAAGTAACTCTGATGTTGGACTTGGTTCCAGTTATGCTCAACCTATTGTATTTTGACTTCCACTGTCAATGTCTCAATCTTCAATGATGTGCAGATCTTCCTTCTTTACCCTCTAGATGTGACAAATTAGTATGGTGCTGCTTCAAGTTGTGTACTAGTTGAATTGATGTTACACCATTTTGTGCAGGCTGTCCAACATCGTTCAACTTCCTCAGCTGATTATAATGCTGGGGTGTTTGCTAGATTTCGTGCAAGGCACCATAGGTCTGCATCATTTGGCGAAGGAGGTCTAGACTGCTGCAGTGTTGATCTTAACACTTCAACACTAAAGATGGACTCGGACAACACAGATTTGCGACTTTGCTTCAGAATAATATCTCCACTGAAAACTTATACATTGCAGGTGCATAGCCAAAACCCTTCATCATAAATTATATTAACTTCTGAGCTTTTACCTGAGATGCAAGCAATGAGGAGGCTGGTAAATGACAATTTGTCTTGGTGTCAGAATGCATGGAAAATGGAAAATCATAAGAAAACACATCTTCTTGAAGAAAGCCTTGCACTATTTTATTGATTAACTTCACTTCTTATTTGATTACTGAGTTCGTAGTGACATGAATGAGGAATGAGTTCCACACGCATAATTCTTTATTTTTGGTGGTGGAAAAGTTGAACAATTGATAAAAAATATGATTTGATGGTTAATTAATGATACGGGGTGGCAGAAAAAGAGGAGACTTTTTTTTTTGGCAAATTGGAGAGGGAGGTTAATGGTGCGTGCTTCTGATTCTTGAATAATTTGTATGCTACGTAATGTGACAACGTTCATGCCTATTATGTGGAATTGTGATATGCTGTAGAACCAATGGAAGAAAAACAACGTAAGGCTCCATAAGATCCTATGTGCGTTATAACTCCTTACTCTTGAAAGGTGCAAATTTCATCATCTTCAAAGGTTTTCTTTATATTGATGCTGGGTATTAGAAAAAGAAAATACTGAAGCTGAAAATAAAATAGGTCATATGATGACACACCTATAGCAGAATAGAAAAGGTATTTCATTCTGTTTGACAGGAAGAGATGCTGGCTGTTGTACCTTGTTGATCTTGAGATGAAAGTAATAAATCCTGTAATTATAGCTTTTACATTGTCCATATCATTTTGCAACAACATCGGTATTTGGAAAATTTTGTGTAAATTGAGTTTTTCACTTTTTGTTTTTTTGACCGGTAGTTTTTCACTTTTTCCTACGTTGCTTATTTGTCAGAATTGGCCTATTATACAAATGATTCTGAATTAGTACAACTGTGTTTTGGAAAACGCTATAATTGACTCGGTATCTCTTCCGGAACCTTAAGTTAAAAAGTCCTGCGACTGAACTGTAATATGTAGTAAACTTCATTTTTGCTTCATAATGGTGCTCGATCATGTAAAGTAATCTGACACATTTCAGTCGGTCCATGATCGTGCCTACAAAAGTATATTGTATTTGACTCTTTCATAGAGTGTTATGAGAATGATGTCCCCGTGGTTGTCAGGCTGAAAATGCAGCAGATAGAATGGATTGGGTAAACAAAATTAGTGGAGCAATTGCTTCCCTTCTGAATTATCAACTCTCACAACAGGTTATCTCAAGAACTTTGTGTTTTTATGTTCTTAAATTCATCTAAAATTACATGCAATGGAACATCCGCACATTTCTTTTTCGTTTTCTCTAACATGAAACCGGGTTGATGTTGCAGTCACATCCAGGGATAAAAACTCGGGAAACTAAAGAATATCTTGCTCGTAATAGTCAAGAACTAGAAAATTATCAAAATTCTGAAGACGACACAGTTTCTAGAATCCTTAGAGAAATTCCAGGAAATGAGCTTTGTGCAGAGTGCAGTGCTCATGATCCTGATTGGGCATCTCTCAACCTTGGCATATTGTTGTGCATTGAGTGCTCGGGTGTTCACCGAAACCTTGGTGTTCATATTTCAAAGGTTAGCTTTCTGTTTACTTTGGCCCTTGAAACTTGTAGTCATTGATTAATCAATTATCTGTCTCTAGTTAATCATGATAACATGAATAACGAATTTCCTTCATGTACCCTACTTCTCCAATTTATCTTTCCATTGATAACCTGGGAACGCTGTGGAATTTGTTCTGTTTTGCTCGGTTTCACTCTCGACATCTTCTGAAACCAAATGGAGTACTATTATTGTCGCACTGCTATCCTTGATCATAATTTTGAAAGGGAATAGAATTGTACTTCATATTAAATATAATAAAATCTCCAAAGCATAAAGGAAAAAATTTCTGCTGTGATTTGTAGGTGAGGTCGTTAACCTTTGATGTCAAGGTTTGGGAACCTACAGTTTTAGACTTATTCCGGGCATTGGGAAATGCGTATAGTAACTCTTTGTGGGAGGGAATGCTGCTTCTAGAGAATAAGAGGTAAGTTTCATGATCTAAAAGGGTTCCATTTCCTCGTAGAAGATGCCAAAACGCTTTCGATTTTTGTATTTTACGATTCTGTTTATTTTTTTGTTTTTATTGTAATTTCCATCTGTGAGTCATTCATAGCCTGTCACAAACTTATGTCCTGTAAAGCCAACTTGTCATGGGGTTGTTAATGACACGTACTTGAGTGTCTTGCTTCGGTCTTGGATGCAGGCTCGTTTAGATGTCTGTGTCAGTTAACATGGTCTTTCAAACTCTAGGTAGAAGCACTAGTGGCAATATTTTGCTGGCTTGAAATGGACACACATGTACAGTCCTGCATCTTTTTCTTCAGGTCAGATGGTTCCAATATTTGAAGCTGAAAAAATGGTCGTTAATCTAAAGCATTGATAATGATATGCTGGAAAAGATAACCAACTTAGTGATATCTCTGATAATGCACTAATGCAGATGCCTCTGCACACCTTTAGTTCATCAAATTTCAGTTGCAAATGATTTGAACAGTAGAAAACACTGTTGCTTACTTGGTTGAGATAGGCGGGATCATTTCGTACTTGCAAGATTATAGAATGGATCTCGGAGTGAGGTATCTCTCATTTTAACATAATGGCAAAGAACTGGGAACCTTATGTGGAATGTAAAATCATTAATAGAACTCAGAAGCTGTTCGATTGAAAAGCTGGTTGTAGCAAGGGTCACATTGCCCATGTTGTTGAGGTAATACCCACTTTCACATTCCTGGGACCTAACCTAGTGGCAGTTCACTCTAGAATGAGACTGTAGCTAACTAAGCTATGGACAAAGGAACAGTTCCTTAAAACCCTGTCTTTATGTGAAATGATATATGTGCATCAACTTATTTTGAATATGGAACTCATAGTACCAATCATTTATCTTCTAGTGTCTCTTGAGTTGGAAAACCTTTTCTTTGATTTGGGTGTTCGGACTTCATTAAAAATTAGAAAGTTGAAACGTCGGGGTCAAGGTCAGAACTTTGGTTTCTCACAAATAGCTTTTATCTACTATCCCTTTATAAGTTCAGAATGAAAAAAAAAAAAAAAAGAAAGAAAAGGTTTGGATGTAGATCTCTAGGCTCATATAGCTATCTGAAATTAGCTTCGCATACAAGTCTATGCTTTTTGACTGAGCGTGTGGTTTTACTTGAATGCAGAATAAGAGAATTCAATGTCACCATACCAGTTACAAAGCCAGGACCCAGAGATGCCATTTACTCCAAGGAGAAATATATCCATGCCAAGGTACTTCATAAAATTCCTTTTCCTGTGGATTGTGACCAATTTTTGTGATATCTTGATATGCGAGGAATTGTCGTACTAAGTTTATTTGAAGAGAGAAAGGAAAATTTTATTTGGCATATTAGAATATGTAATTGACGTGGAAATTGGTCTATGAGTATCACTGCTATAGAGCTCATTGGTGGAATATTGGCCCTGGTGTGCTGCAGGAATATTTGTAGGTATAAGTATAACTAATTCACTACATAAATTCAGCAACAGTCCTCGTAGCTTTGCTGGTTGTCCACTCCTTTCTGACTATTGCAGCCACATTTGGGTCTTAGGTGTTGTATCGATGAAATGCTGAACGAAGTTATAGGTAGCAAAATGAAGGCATTAGATAATGTCAATAAAGAGAAATGCATAAACCATATATATTCATTAGTAGATATGAAAGTTGATTTAAGAATTTTTTAATGGTTACTTTGGGAATTTGTTTTTGTTTTTGGTAGAAGGATTGTTTTTAATGTACCACCTCACCTGTTTGTACCGGAGGAAATTTTTTTTTTTTGTTTCTTTTATAAGGGTGATATAGGTTTTATTTTTACTTCTTTGTGATTGAGGTACTATTTAAGGGATTCAAACCTGGAACCTCTAGGTTCTAGGCTAGTGGTATTACCACTAGGCCAAACCCTTGTTCGTAAAAAAAAAAAAAAGTAAGCAGAAATAAACCGAGAAACTTAATTCTTCTGCAGTTCTATTTGAAAATTGTGCTGAAAGGAAAAGGGCCCAGCTCTTTAGGACAAGTTATTCTAGATAAATCTTCCAGGTTTGATGGCAAAGAAAATTGTTAGTCTTCTATCAATGATTGGCGAGAAGGTTCGATTTAGGCCTCAGTTCTGGAATCCAAGACATTCATGTGCTTGAATTGATCTACTACCTCACAAGTGACCTGAAGAATGTATATAGCTTTTCATCGCCATAAAGTTGTTTCCCCAGAGTTCGGGTTTTAGTAGGGCCTTGAGTAAATGCGAGTGAACTATACTCTCTTTATTGAACAAGTAACTCAGACACTTGATCCGGTTGGCTTCTTTCCGCGATCCATAAGATGGGTATCAGGGATTTTAATGAAACCAGATGTGGCAACTAGTCCAGGCCGGACTAGCTATACTGGTTCTTTATTCTGCGTGAGGTCTCTATTTCTTTGTGTGGAAACCTACAGTTATCATGTCCCATAACTCGTAGCTGGGTATTGTTAATTCTTGGAAATGTTGGCATCCATCAGGTGAGGAAATTTTGTGAGTGGTAAATCTGAATGAATGATTGGCTCGGTGCAAATTATGTTTTGACAGAATGTTTCTATCGAGTTAGATTTTTTTCCTATTCATGTAGTCTGAAATTCTTGGCTCTGTTCATTTGAGAAGCTGATGGCCATATGAATATATAATCACATGAGGTGCAAACCTTACTTTATTTGACTTGTGTTGTCGCAGTATGTTGAGAAGGCTCTGGTAGTCAGAGAAGCAACTGAATCCGGCTACAGTACAACTATCTGGCGAGCTGTGAAGACAAACAATTTGCGGGAAGTATACCGCTGTATTGTGTTCTCGGACATGAATATTGTGAACACCATCTTTGATGACGTTACAACCGTTGATCTATATCACCAGAAGAATGATCTGCAGCAGGATCATGAATGTGATTCCCCAGTAGTTGTAGACTTAAAAGTTTATGATCCGTCATTGTGTCAGAGAATCCAGGATGCCAATGAGCCGAGGAATTGTTTTCAAGGTTGTTCATTATTACATATGGCTTGTTACTATGGCAACCGAGTTATGCTCGAATTGTTGCTGCAATTCGGTGCCGATATCAACTGGAGGGACTACCATGGGAGGACTCCTCTGCACCACTGCGTTGCCAGAGGGGATTATTCATTAGCTAAATTCCTACTTAGAAGGTAATTGATCCTCTCCGCTTCGTTGGCTCCAGTAATATTTAAAAGTTTCTGTTCTTCAGAAAATGATGATAACTTCATCATAGAAGATGCATTTCCTCAATGTGCTCGACTCATGTTAAGCTCTGGAGAAGATTTTTTTTTTGAACTTCATTTTCATTGTTGTAAAACCATTGGAGCTTCATTGTTCCAGTTTCTTTCTAAAAAGTGGTTCGTAACAGTCTGCAAGAATGATAGCAGAAGTATTCTTCCTTATCGGCTGACTGAAAAGAATCATTGGTGTTGATGGCAGGGGCGCATCTCCAGCGGTGAGAGACTGCGGGGGTCTAAATGTGCTGGAAAGAGCCATGGAAATAGGATCAATAACCGATGAGGAGCTATTTATCTTGCTAGCTGGAAGCTAGAACACTCTTTAACTCTGTTTTTTTAATATTCACTAGTCGGAAATAATATTATTTTCTTCAGAAAGTAACAAGTTGAACCATTCTTCTTGGCTCACAACTGAGAAAAATAAATGCAAGTCTGGTCTGCAGATGATACTGATAACTGGAGGTTGTCTGTGTTTGAATGATTTTTTCAGGTGTTATATTGTTGCGGTTAAAGGCATTTATCATTTTTATAATTGTATTGTATTTATGTTATTTATTAGAAGGTTAAGTATTAGAGAATTTACATCAATGCAAATGTTAAATTGTGCTTTTTTTGGCACCTCAATTTATTTGCAATCCAACTCACAATAATTTTGTTTATCTACATCAATGAAATTAACTTGCAATTGCATAGGTGGATACTACTTGTTTTTGTAATAAAATAAAATATTTATATGTTCATTATTTTATCCATACAGAATTTTTTTTTTTCATAAATGCCTTCGATTGAATTGCAAATGAAATTGCAAGAATTGATAGCTTGTATAGTTGCTGTTGAGGATTTTATCGTGGTATGAAAAAGCATGGTATGAACATACCAAGACTGTAGGATGATTGAATACATGATAGTAGGAGTATACTGTTATTTACGACTTTCAACATTGTGTACCACAAGATACCACCCCATACTAGGGTGGTATTGGGTGGTATTTTTTGGTCCTGTATTTTGTTCATCCATAAATTTGTAGATCCAATAGATCATGATGAACTCGTTCATTCTGTGCAAAAAATTTCAAAAACGACTTAAAAATGAAGAAGATACCATATGGTATGCAGTGGTAACATGAGGCAAGAATTTATTTTTCTCAAAAAATATTGAAAATTGATATCATTTTGTAGAACAAACGAACTCATTCCATGTATGCAAAACAAATTTTGAAATCCGAGTTAAAACAAATAAGATATGAAACGATTAAGAAAACAAGGAAAAATAAAAATGTCTTTAATTTTCCATTCATAGATCTGAATTTTATGTACTCACTTAAATGTGATGGCTGAGATTTGATTACTTATTGGTCAGACCGTATCTACCGCCCTCCATCTGTAAGGGCTCCAGATACGGTGCATAACCCATGGTTATGCGGATTTTTTCCAGCCATTGGTTAAAAAAATTTACAAAAATAGCATCCAATCCCGAAAAATTCCAAAAATAGCACTCTTTTTCGAAAACTGCCACCCTGCCCAGCGGTTAACATGAAAATCGCTGGGTCGGGGCGCGGTTTTTGACCAAAACCGCTTGAGTAGGGGGCGGTTTTGTTGACCGTAGCCCCACCTGGCGGTTTGGTTCAAAACACTTGCCCCATCCAGCGATTTTGGGCCTATATTTTTTTCCGATTATTTCTAATCTAAGTGGAAACTTCAAAGGAACGTATATTTGTGCTCGGGTATCCGAACGTATGCCAAATGAAAAGGTGTTCGGATTTTGGAGCACAAAGTTATGGCCGTCCACAGTTTGACGAAATCGGAAAAAGCTCGTTCGGGGTAGCAAAACCATGTTTTTTCGCGACGGAGGCTGAACCTAACCACCTACGGCAGTTTGCGGCTTCAAAGATCTCGAAAAGTTATGGGGAATAAAAAAATCGCTACGTTTGTCTAAAGTTTCCACCTAGGTTAGCAATAATCGAAAAAAATAGGCCCCCTACCCAAACGATTTTGATCGAAAACCAAACCGCTGGGTGGGGTTGCGGTCAACAAACCCGCCCCCTACCCAAACGATTTTGGTCGAAAACCGCCTCTCGATCCAGCAATTTTTGGGAAAGGATGCTATTTTTAGAATTTTTCAGGATTGAGTGCTATTTTCGGAATTTTTTTTAGATAGTGTTATTGTAACATCCTGAACCTTTTCTCGACTAAGATATTGTCCGCTTTGGGCCTCGACCCTCACGATTTTCGACTTGGGGTGCAATTCAAGGTGACTTCCCATAAGGTCACCCATCCTTGTTGTACTCCACACTGAGCACGTTTAACTTCTCCTCCATTACACCCCAACGCGTCTTGTCAGTTAAGGTCGGTTTCTTACTTATGAACCATGGATCTCTCCCGTGCTTTGTCGATGTGAGATTTCCCTAAGGTGTTACATACACCCACCCCATACCAGGGTGGTATTGGGTGGTATTTTTTGGTCATGTATTTTGTTCATCCAGAAATTTGTAGATCCAATAGATCATGATGAACTCGTTCATTCTATGCAAAAAATTTCAAAAATGACTTAAAAACGAAGAAGATACCATATGGTATGCAGTGGTAACATGAGGCAAGAATTTATTTTTCTCAAAAAATATTGAAAATTGATATCATTTTGTAGAACACAACGAACTCATTCCATGTATGCAAAACAAATTTTGAAACCCGAGTTAAAACAAATAAGATATGAAACGATTAAGAAAACAAGGAAAAATAAAAATGTCTTTAATTTTCCATTCATAGATCTGAATTTTATGTACTCACTTAAATGTGATGGCTGAGATTTGATTACTTATTGGTCAGAACGTATCTTGCGCCCTCCATCTGTAAGGGCTCCAGATACGGTGCATAACCCATGGTTATGCGGATTTTTTCCAGCCATTGGTTAAACAATTTTGCAAAAATAGCATCCAATCCTGAAAAATTCCAAAAATAGCACTCTTTTTCGAAAACTGCCACCCTGCCCAGCGGTTAACATGAAAACCGCTGGGTGGGGGCGCGGTTTTCGACCAAAACCGCTTGAGTAGGGGGCGGTTTTGTTGACCGTAGCCCCACCTGGCGGTTTGGTTCAAAACACTTGCCCCATCCAGCGATTTTGGGCCTATATTTTTTTCCGATTATTGCTAACCTAAGTGGAAACTTCAAAGGAACGTATCTTTGTGCTCGGGTATCCGAACGTATGCCAAATGAAAGGTGTTCGGATTTTAGAGCACAAAGTTATGGCCGTCCAAAGTTTGACGAAATCGGAAAAAGCTCGTTCGGGGTAGCAAAACCATGTTTTTCGCGACGGAGGCTGAACCTAACCACCTACGGCAGTTTGCGGCTTCAAAGATCTCGAAAAGTTATGCGGAATAAAAAAATCGCTACGTTCGTCTGAAGTTTCCACCTAGGTTAGCAATAATCGAAAAAATAGGCCCCCTACCCAAACGATTTTGGTCGAAAACCAAACCGCTGGGTGGGGCTGCGGTCAACAAAACCGCCCCCTACCCAAACGATTTTGGTCGAAAACCGCCTCCCGATCCAGCAATTTTTTGGAAAGAATGCTATTTTTGGAATTTTTCGGGATTGAGTGCTATTTTTGGAATTTTTTTTAGATAGTGTTATTGTAACATCCTGAACATTTTCTCGACGAAGATATTGTCCGCTTTGGGCCTCGACCCTCACTATTTTCGACTTGGGGTGCAATTCAAGGTGACTTCCCATAAGGTCACCCATCCTTGTTGTACTCCACACTGAGCACGTTTAACTTCTCCTCCATTACACCCCAACGCATCTTGTCAGTTAAGGTCGGTTTCTTACTTATGAACCATGGATCTCTCCCGTGCTTTGTCGATGTGAGATTTCCCTAAGGTGTTACATACACCCCCCCCCCCCTTGGGACTCAACGCCCTCGTTGAGTTTTGTCCTACCATCGTTCAAGAGGGACGCGAAGATGCTCTGATACCACTTGTAACATCCCTAACCTTTTCCCGACGAAGATATTGTCCGCTTTGGGCCTCGACCCTCACGGTTTTCGACTTGGAGTGCAATTCAAGGTGCCTTCCCATAAGGTCACTCATCCTTGTTGTACTCCACACTGAGCACGTTTAACTTCGGAGTTCTCACAAGAACTCCTCCATCACACCGCAAAATGCGTCTTGTCAGTTAAGGTCGGTTTCTTACTTATGAACCATGGATCTCTCCCGTCGATGTGGGATTTGCCTAAGGTGTTACAGTTATTTCTAGAAAGTATGCTTGTTATGCACCCATCCATAACCAAATCTGGGCCCTTTATTCACAAAATCCAGATCTAAAGGTGGAGAATTAAAGGCATTTTTATTTTCCCTTGTTTTCTTAATCACCTCATAACTTCTTCATTTTAACTCGGATTTTAATTTTTTCATAGATGGAACCACTTCGTTGTGCTCTACAAAATGAGATCCATTTCCAATATTTTTTTTTAAAAAAAATTAACACCTTTCGTGACCAACTGTATACCATATGGTATCTTCTTCGTTTTTTAAATCATTTTTTAAATTTTTTGCAAAGAATGAACGATTTCATCATGATTTATTGGATCTACAAATTTCTGGGTGAACAAAATACAGTACCAAAAAATACCACACAATACCACCCTGGTACGGGGTAATATCTTGTAGTACACAATGTTGAAAGTTGTAAATGACAGTTAGTATACTCCTACTATCATGTATTTAACCATTCTACAGTGTTGGTATGTTCCTACCACAATGGTACACTTTTCATACCATATGCTATGCTCTTATTTCAATACCAAACAATATCATATTGTATAGACTGGTAAAAAATGACTCAATTTATTTTTGTTTAAAAAATATATCAAAGTGGATATCATTTTGAAGAGCACAACTAATTTGATCTAACTATGGAAAAAAGTTAAATTTCGACTTAAAATGAGTGAGAAATCGTCCGTTAAAGATTAAAGGGAAAAAATTGAAGACTTTACAGGAGAGAGAAGAGGCGCTGATGTGGCGAATGATGAATGATTATGCATGGTTACTCACCACAAAGTTATTGACTAGATCTGCTCCCATCTGTAAGTGGAAAAAAATTGAAACATTAAATATGAAATTAAATAATTAAGAAATTGCGGTTAATTGCAAGGTTGGTCACTGAGATTACAAAAAACGTTCATGTTTACTCACTGTAAATATTTAATTTCGTTCGTAGTCACTAAAATTAATTAAATGATTCAAGTTTGGTCACTCTCCGTTAACTTCCGTTAGTCTCCATTAACGACATCAAGTTTTTACTAACGTGGCTAAAAGAATCAC